TTCCCAATGGATGCACATATGTTGTTCCAACTTGGGAATAGGAAGAATATAAATCGACTTCAAAAACAAGAGAGAACGCTACAGTCGAGCAAGCCCGACAGTGAAATACCCTGTGCGCAGGTAAACTTCCGACACTGAGGTGTATGCGCCTCTAGCAGAAGCAAAAGGAAGAGGAAGAGCGAATTTGATGCTGCAGCTTGTGGACGTAGCACCGAAGTAAAATTGTTTCGCTAATAGCTTTTCTTAGAGCCAACCGAGTTAGATGAAATTTGAAACAAAAGTAGTTATTATATAGAAATTGTGTGTGCAATGTTTGGTTGAAGTAGCTTTTGAAATGTGGACGGTATTTGTAGCGAGGGAAAGGGGGAAAAATTCAAAAAAATTAAATTAATTTCTCGGACCTAGGAAAACCTGGATACCAACTTTGGTTATTCCAGCTTCATCCAGACAGACAGACGGACGGACATGTCTAGATCGATTTATCTCGTCATGCTGATTCAGAATATATATACTTTATGGGGTCGGAGATGCTTCCTTCTGCATGTTACATACTTTCCACAAACCTAATATACCCTTTTTATCCTACGAGTACAGGGTATAAAAAGCAAAACATTTTATAAATTGAATCTAATCTATATAGTGTTTGTAATCCCATGATCTATACAATTTTTTTAAAAGCAAAAGTCGACCCGGCCCGAGGACTTTCGTAATTTTAAGTTTACTTAACTTTAACTTTAAAAAAAAAAAACAACATTATTTTTCCATTTGCATTTGAAACTCGAACATTTTAAAAATCGTGCACAATATATTTAATAGCTCAGTGCGCTCGACCATACTGTTGATGATTTTTAGGATTTATTTAAGTTGAAAACAATGGATTTATTTAAGTTGAATACCTTGCTGCTTGGCTGAATTTCATTATTTGCAGAATAAAGGCAACCGCACTCCAAATAAAAGCTAAAAATAACACGCAAAAATGCAATTCGGCAACCCAACTAGCACAACAACGACACAATATCAACAGCACCAACATCTACAAAAACAACAATGCTATTGGACTACGGATACTCATATAAAAACAACAACAATAGGTGTAAAAACAGTCCATTTGTATATGTACAAACATGCTGAAGGGCGTTGGCATTCTATACTTGCATACATCGCGCAGTTGTAGTTTTTACGTTATTTGTTCAGCTTGCGGAAGCTGCGGCATGATTACATTTTAGAACAATTTCTCTCTCTCAGCCCAATCGTTCATGTTGTGTTAATTATTTTCTGAATTCCTCCTAATTCGGAGGCAGTTGAAATATTTGACATACCTATTAAATGCCCCAAGCCTACGAATATCTGTCAAGAGAATGGTATATTATTCTTGATATATTTTGATATACATTCTTCCGACATATTCGCCGGAGACATGAGTACAGCTCAATTACAAATTCCATAGCATGTGAAATATTTTCTAGATACAACTCATTCACACTTTTGCAGTGTCATGGCTTAGGAAATCAGAATTTGATTGCAATAGTGTTTATAGTCTATGATCAATAGCTCTTTAGAGCTCCTTGGCGATTCTCATTACACATATAAAATTAAAATTATATTGAGCAAGAAAACTTAAGAACATGTCATTGTGAAATTGTTGGTTCATTTTACGGCAGCCATTTCTGTTTCGTATTCGCTGTATATGAATATTTATTATATTCTTTTATAGAGTAAACTGTAAATTTTTACGTTTAATCAACGCCCTCGTGCATAAGCTTTGAATTTAACAGCCGTAAAATTTTATTTTTTGTTAAACACATATTTTTCACATTTTCCCATGCTTTTTAATTATAAATGTGTCAAAAGGTTGAACGCGTCTCATGATTGCCATTTAATTGCATTTTTTCGTGGCTGTATGGCTTATTATTATATTGCAGCATTTATTATTTTTTATTGTTTCGTTTTATTAGCTGCAACATTTTTTTACAACATGAAATCAATTAACGAACTTAATTAGTTTTATGGGCCATGGGACACCTAGGATCAGTTGTAAGCAAAGTTTAAAGCGATCCTCCAACATTAAAGTCTTCCCAGCTACGATAACTTGTCCGCAAGTCTTTTAAGTTTTCATCGCTACTCATCTTGGCATCCGTAACTTTGTTAATGCTGTTGGTGTCGCGGTAGTTGTTGCTTCTGGCCTTTTATTTTTATATATTTTATTTATTATGTGCTTGTCCACTTGCAGACACTCTGCCTCGGTTATGCTGACATGCGCGACTGTTGCCTTACAGCGAAATTCAATTTAAAACGTGCTTACGTGGCCAACACACACACACACACACACATATGTACATGTTTGAGGGTGCATGATTGGCGAGCAAACGGCCATTATGTTGTTTTTACCCTGAAGCCTCAGCAGGGCACACTAAGCTCCTATGCTCGCACACAAAATAGCAAGCAGGAGTGATAGCGAGAGAGTGAGAGGAAGAGAAGTACACACACACACACACAAATATATATATATATACTGTATATATATATATATATATATATATATATATATATATATATATATATCTTATTGTTTCGCAACAATTTAATAACAGTGCAGACAGGGGAATGGCAGCGGCAAAGTTTTCAAAATGCTTGTCAATAAGATTTTATTTTCATTTCGCGCTTTAATTTCATGCTTTATTTGCCATAAGCTGAGCAATGAAACAAAAGAAAATTGCTCTACACATACATGCATAAGCTGCTACACACATACATGTGAGCTTCTACATAGAAACTGCAAGCAAAGAACTACTAGTCGATTGAATTCTGCTGCATGCCAACTCTGTATTTCAGTGATTGTGTCACCAAATCTATTCAACTTTTCCAATCCTTGAAGCACGCAGTGCATTTCGTATACATTAGTGGACACATAAATAGGTTTCAACTTGCTATTGAACTTCTACAAAACCCACCGAACCGTTTTCTCAATGCATCAATAGAGGAATAGTTTATAATTTTACCAGTCCATTTTATTTAAATGGTTATTCACTATTTTATTTTTATACGTATATATAATTTGTGTCCTGCAAGAAAAGGAAAAAAACTCAAAAGTAACTATATAGTTCATAATTATATCACTTACTAGAGGAAATATGGGCGTTGATGGCGTCGCTAACTAAATAATTATATTATACACAGTAAATGAAGCATATGTTTGAAAACGGAATTATGGGTCAAGTTTATCTGAATTTTGTTATTAATTACATTGATTAAGAGCAGGTTTTGACCGACTTTATTGGCAATGTTATTTGAGTAAATGGGTTAATTGAGCGATATTTGATTGCATTTAGCAAATGCAAATGCGAATGCCAATTGGCAGGCCACAGACTCATATGCTTTTAAGTGCTTGTTGCTAGTTGAGCACAAATACAATTATACAAATTAAATTATGTTCTATTAGGCGGTCTCAGGGGCTAGTCCTTCCACCACCCTCCTCCCCCATACTCACACATATTAACACGCAATGCAAGCGTGTTGTGTTTAGTCAGATCGGCTCGAGTGTATTGTCAACTTAATTCATTATTTATTTAAACTTACATGTACAATTATTTGTGCTGCGACCAACATGACACAAATATTTGCTTATGTAAATTGAGTTTAATTAATACATAAACACGGGCAGCTTGTTGACAGTGTCATTGTTGTTGTTGCTATAATTGTTGTTGTATAAGCAAATCACTTTAAGACCTTAATCAGTCGACGCCATGCGGTCAAGTCCCCCAAACTTTGTCATGCATATTTGATAGCACAACAAAAGGAAAGTTGTAATATTGTCTGTGTGTGTAAAGTACATGCTTGTCGAATTTTGGAATGTGCGGCTTGTGCCTTAATTATAGACAACTATAAAGGCACAAACTCATTGTCATTTCAAGGAGCAAAAGATATAATGAAGCCGAAGTGCTCAAAACGAAATTGTTTATGACAGACCGAAACGGATTTATGTTTCAATACCAATTAAATGAAAAACTCAACAACTTCTTAATGTGAGGCTGTTTAGAAACAACATTCAAATTGGAGCTTAAATTGCTTAGTACTGATTGTTAAGCCTCCCACAAAAATTCAACTATTGTACTACCCAGTTGTGTAAATAAAAGTAAATGCTGACGCATTGCATGGCATGAGGACTGAGAACAATGGCATTAGGCCGGCAACAAGCGATTAACATTGACTGACTCAGACAAACACACACACACACACACCCACACACGAAACGCTTATGTGTGTGTGTGTGTGTGTGCATTACATGCCTGTAACAGTTGAAAACTCGTTTCTGCACGTTGAACTAAACTCGACGGCACAATAGTAGCGCCAACGACAAAAGCCTCCCGGCAGCATAAAAGTGGAAACTAGTGCGCGCTAAAGGAATAAAAATGGAAATTTGAAAAATACCTCGCTTTGCTAACACACACACACACCAACACACATACATATATACACACAGATGCACAGTGAGGGCGAGAAAGACAAAACGTTGGGCAAACAACATAAAAAACATGGTTGGAATATCAAAAAAACAACAACAAAAATTGCAACAAAATGTTTAGCAGCATTGGGAAGGTGTGTGAGAGAGGACGGAAACCGAATATCGAACACGGCACTTTGCTTTGTCATTGTACAATCACTTTTTGTGCATGTGAGTGTGTGTGTGTGTGTGTCGGAGGGTATAGTGCAGCTTTGTTTGTCTGTGAGGGCAGGCATTGTTTGCCAAATATATACATGTATGAATGTATGTGTGCCACGTTTCTATGCGCAAATGTATGTTGCACTTCATTTACATTTTTTTTTTTTTTTGTCCATGAATGAGCCGCCAACGCCACCACCAATGGTGCGCCGTCGCCACAGAAATTTGATATAGCTAATAATACCATTTGTCTTTTTAAAACATTTTTTCCCTTCAATTGAAACCAAATCACTCAACTCCACTCGGCCAATGTTGTTTCCTTTTCTTGCTACTTTTACAGCTACTGGGCTGTCACCAACATCGATTATATTCACTCACGTACCAGTAATCGGGTTTTCCTTATGATATTTTGTGTCTGGACGGCGGCCGTGATTGTGTCACTGGCTCCACAGTTTGGTTGGAAGGATCCGGACTACTTGCAGCGCATTGAGCAGCAAAAGTGTATGGTTTCGCAGGATGTGGCGTATCAGGTGAGTTTTCGCAGGACCTACCGCTGTCCAAATTTCTATATAACTGGAATGCAATATGCGATTGATGTAAATGTATTTTTTGTATCTATATTTATCTACCTCCTCCTCAAAAATATTATCATCAAATAATTATCTATGGGCGTTTCTTAAATTATTTACTTGAAATATTTACATTCTGAGGCGGATCAGTGAAGTATAAAAAGCTTTAAATGTCAGCTATAACTATTTTATTTTGTAATAATGTCCACATTATCTTCATTTTTTTTATCTAATTTCACAAATTTAAAACAAAGTAAATAAGAACTAAAATATATTAAATGGAATGCAATTACTGACTAGCTTGAATTTGTTTTCTTTGTAAAAATACAAATAGGTATTTCAAATTGTTCGAGTGTACCCAATACAATTATTCACACAGTTGCGTTTAGATTAAAGTGAATGTGAGTGGTCTTTCCTTGTACTCATGCCCATTGGCCTTTTTGTGAATTTGCAGGTCTTTGCCACTTGTTGCACATTCTACGTGCCACTGCTAGTTATATTGGCGCTTTATTGGAAAATCTATCAGACGGCTCGCAAACGCATTCACCGCCGGCGTCCACGACCGGTCGATGTAACGGCCAACAATAATCAGGTGAGTCAATCAGTTGGGTGTGTGTGTGTGTATGCGTTCATTGTGTTCGCTTGAGTGGCTTTAAAATGCAAAACGGTGAAAATGATTGAACGCCGTGAATTGAAATGCGGCAGCTGCACAATTGAAGCGTGAGTTGAGCGTAATTGGAAAGCGCAGCAGCAACGATGTTAGCTTGTATGTACGAGTATGCCCATGTGTATGTGTGTATATGTGTGTGTGTGGGATTTCTACCGATGGGCTGCGGTATTGCATTTGACGCACAATTGACGGAGCTTGTTGCATGCCACAGGCCTTAACTTTCATCTAGCCAGAGGCATGTGTGGGCAGCCGGATGTGTACATAGTTAGTTGCGCATTCATGCCTGCCTATTCATGCAACATACTCGCACATACTTACATTTAAACACACAGACACATTCCCACGCCTGATTGCATAGCATTGCATTATTAGTGAAATTGCCATTTGACCTTTTGGTTGCCGCAAAGCTACCCGCACTGTGCACAACACGACAGGCCACAACACTAGCAGGAACAGCAGCAACAACAATAGATTTCTGACCTTGCAATTATGCAGTTTAATCCAGTTAAAAGCGTTAGCAAGCACAAAATCAACACAAGACCACACAGCAGACGACCAAAGCCAAAAACTAAACATAATTACATGTCCTGGGAACAAGGAACTGGACGCTGCGCATACATAACTAAGCAGGTCATGCTACACGGCTCTTACCCACATCGATTTAACATGCTTAGTTTAATAAGCTGCTGCTTAATATTGGATAAATGTCACGGGGATTGTGCTTCAAGGACAAAGGGGTAAAAAGTCTAACAAAATTATAAACGAACATTACACAAAATGAAAAGAACATAGAAAGTTAATCCATTATATCCATACGAGTTATAAAAGAGTATTCAGTTTAGAATTAATTTCGAGATTACATAATAGTATTTCAAAACAATATTATATCGCGATAAATTTTAAATGGATCTGTTAGTAAATAAGAAAATATTGGCAACCAGTTTTTTGTATTAACTATTTTTAATACGAAAACTTAAAAAACATATTAATTGAATATTATTATAAGATTTGTGTGTTGGCTCCATATTTTCTGTGTTTTTCTAATTTTTTCTAAAAATATGTCTCCCCTGTCTTCTCTGGTAATGATCTAATGACCATTTCCACAATCCTTCGGCAGTCTTATGCTTCTTAATATGTAATTTTTATTCTCTCTACGACCTGTCCACCTGGGTTTTTAAATTCGCTCCTTACTTAGCTTTTTAGATTAAAAAATGTTGAATTACAAATTTATTTTCACCGGGTAGAATAAACTGTTTCATGAATACAAAACCAGTCTTAGCTTCTTACTGCATTATATATTGCTATTTAAATTTTAATTTTTTTTACCTTCTGTTCATCTTCGTTGCATTGCACATTCTGCTTTGGAATTCATACCTTAAACATGCGCGTTTTAAACAGTTTTTTCTGGAGCTACGACCATGTGCTATGTAGCATTAGAAGAGAAAGGTGCCTGAAATTAGCAAAAGTTCGCACACAGTTTAAAGACATGGCGCTTGAAATTTAACAGATTTGCGTATTGTTAAAGCTTGAATAATTAAAATGCCAATGTAGACGTTTTCGGTTCGTTTACTTGCTAGCCGGCTGGCTTTAAAGGCAATGGCCACAAACGCTGCAAAATAAGTATACAAGTAGACATTAAATAAATAAATAATCTGGGCGCAATCCACAAAACAGCACAAGGATAAAACAACAGCCTAAACAGAAGTAAAGGCAGGAACGAAAACAACAATTTGGGTCAAGCAACACATCAAGAGTGAAAACTGAAAAAAGCAACAGTGCCAAGGACAACTGAAATGTGGCAGGCAAAGCAAAAATACGAACTATATACTTCTGCTGTTCAGCCAGCAGCCAATTCGACTGTGCGGTGGTAATGCGCAGCTGTTTTTGGCATCGGACCGCACTGCCCAGCTAAGTTGCAATTTCTTTGTCCATGTGCGTGTGAAGGACTAAATAAGTGTGTGTGTGAGTGTGTATCTGGCGTGTGCGTCTTTCATTTCTTTCTTGAGCTTTACATTTCGCTCTTGTCCCGCTGGCATATAACCTGCTACTTAGCTTAAGCTTAGTACTTTGACTAAATTGAAAATGACCATTTGACGTAAAAATGTTTCCAACCACTTTGCTGCTTACCTACAGACACTCACAAACATAGGCACATATGTACATTCACTGTATGTACATACAAAGGTATATATATATACATATATGTATATACATGGGCGTGCCCTTGCCTAACTGGCAACGTTTGTCGCCTGAACAGAAAGTCATTGGAATCACAAATTCAATGCGTAAACAAGACAAGTTGTCCACTATTTGCCAGCATAAGGCTACATGTGCACATGTCCAGCCCATGTCGTATATATGTGTATTCACTTGTGTGTGTATGTGTGTGTGTAGTCGCATGTCAGCAACCACACAGCACTATACGCATCCATTTAATGCCACTCACTTGCTGGCCTGCTTGTTGATTTAAAATATATTTACCCCCTCTGAATATACAGACTCACTCACACTCACACACAAGCCACATTTTCTCTTTTTTAACTAAACGCTTTCAAATTGAAAATTGTTTTTCTTAAACTTGACGAGGGTTCATACCAATACCAATACCAACAACAGCAATAACAACAACGACAGCTAAAGCGAAATAAAGGCATTCACTTGCTCGCCTGCTGCTTTGAGTTGAACACAAGCTCAGCGTTTTTTTATTTCGTTTTTATATAAACAAATTCTTGTTGAATGCAAATATTGTTAGCAAAATTTGTTATCATTTGGCAGCACATAAATTTCACTTAATTGTCAAACATCTGATAACATTCAATAGCCAAATATAAAAGTATTTGTTCCGACCTTCAATGGCGAAAGTATGCAGTATATTTTATGTTAATAATTGATAACGGTCGCGACCTTTTACGTAATTACTAAATAATGCACTAGACAATTGTAGTGCATGTTTTGTGCCTAAGCCAATAATTAAAATTGCACAACCTAATGAAAATGGTGGAAATTTAATTTGCCAGACGACCTGGCTCGGATTTTGGTAGAACAATGTAAAGCTTCTGACTGCCATTAACGTGGAAATGGCCAGAGTGATCTTTGTCTCTGCCATCATCAAGTTGACACACGACCTCTCCGCGGTGCTCTCTGGGTAGCTTTCCGGCTCCATCCGGAAATGGTAAGTGAGCAAATGTGTGCAGCGCTTTTGTGCGTAGGGCTTGGGACCCACCACATGAAAATTTTTTACTCCCAGTGAAGGACAAAACAACAGCCTCGGATAAGGAACACCCAAAAGTTGACGACCCTAGCAAACGTTCAAAGGACCACGATTTAAGGATATGCACCTGGAATGTCCGGACCCTTAACAGAGGAGGTGCTACTATCCAATTGGCGGATGCTCTCAATAAAGTAAGAGCTGACATCACCGCCATCCAGGAAATGCGATGGACAGGTCAGGGTTGCTCCCAAAGAGCAGCCTTTGACATCTACTACAGCTGCCATGCAGAAAGACGCGAATTTGGATGCGGTTTTGCGGTCAGCAAGAGATTGCGTAACTGTGTCTCTAGGTTCACACCTGTGAACGAACGGCTGGCAACCATCCGTGTCAAGGCGAGATTTTTCAACATAAGCCTGATTTGCGTCCACGCTCCGACGGAGGACAAAGACGAGATTACCAAGGACGAGTTCTATGCGAGACTGGAGACAGTCTATGACCGCTGCCCCTCTCATGACATTAAAATTGTTCTTGGCGATTTTAATGCCAAGGTTGGAAGAGAGCGCGTCTTTGCCCCGACAGTCGGACAATTCAGCCTCCACGAGACAACATCCAACAATGGACTGAGGCTAATTGACTTCGCCGCAGCACGAAACATGGTGGTGAGTAGCACCAGATTTGAACACCTTGATATCCACAAAGCTACCTGGCAGTCACCCGATCGAATGACAAAAAATCAAATAGACCATGTTGTGATAGATGGAAGGCATGCATCCAGTGTGCTGGACGTGCGTACGTTCCGTGGTGTGAATATTGATTCGGACCACCAACTTGTTGCAGCCAAGGTCCGCATGCGATTATGCATGGCGAAAAATGTACGCCCCAACACGCAGCGAAAACTAGACGTCGGAAAGCTGCTAGCACAACAGACGGCCGAAGCTTACTCCGCTCAACTCTCTGAGCTGCTTTCTCAACCGTTCTCGGAAACCGATACTGGTAGCGGACTTTGGGCACATATTTCCCTCTCACTGCACACAGCCGCAGAAGATGTCATTGGTTTCCAACAGCCGCTACCGAGAAACCAATGGTACGACGAGGAGTGCCGCGAAGCCACTGCAGCGAAGAATGCCGCGTACAAAAGAACCCTGCAGACGGCGACAACGCGCGCTGTGCATGATGTATATCGGGAGAAGAAGAGGGAGGAGAGGCGGCTTTTTAGACGCAAGAAGAGAGAGCAAGAAAAGCGAGAGCGAGAGGAGATGGAGCTTTGTAGAGACAGGAACGACGCTAGGAAATTTTTCCAGAAGGTGAAGCGTCTAACACAAGGTTTTAAGCCCGCAGCGTCAGCCTGTAAGAACTCGGAAGGAAATCTGGTGGTGGACGGGCAAGCGGCACTGAGACTGTGGAGGGAACATTTCTCCAATCTTCTATCAGGCGAAGATGTTAACAATTCCGCCAGCGGAGATGACCCCACAGAACCGATCGCCGACGATGGTATTGAAGTACCGTCACCTAGCCATGACGAAGTCGAAACAGCCATCCAGCGGCTCAAAAACAACAAATCTGCGGGAGCAGATGGGCTGCCTGCGGAGCTGTTTAAGGCAGGCGGCGATGAGTTGGTAGGGTGCATGCACCAGCTCATCTGCAAAATATGGCTAACTGAAAGCATGCCTGATGATTGGAATCTCGGTGTCCTATGTCCCGTCCTAAAAAA